GTATTATATATAATATAACTATGCAAGCAGCACAGCTTTTTACAATAGTAGTTGAAATTTTCAGAAAAATGATCATTATTGAACAAAAAACTTCTACAAATAAATTTTTCACTTCCTGGCAAGGCCGCCATTTTGAATTTACCCATAATGCCCTGCAAATTTTAATATGCAAATTAACCTTAAAATTAAGCTAATTTTATTGGCGGTCAAATAAAAAACATTTTTAGCTCAAGATATTTCTTCCATATGCAGTAATGACTACTAGATCATTAGGACCTCTTGCCAACCTTTGACAAGAATTATCCTGGACGCAGCTCTCTCACCTGCTAAGTAAAAAATAGCTTAAATTTTATGGAAAGCTACTATTTGACAATGGCTATCTTACTTTTTTATGCTAGAAAGTGTCCAAGGATAATTTTAGAAATGGTTTCAGCTGGTCCCCTAAAATGAATACTACCCTCCACCCAGCTGATGGACTATATGACATGGCGATAGAGAGGAGTGGAGCTAATGGTCAGATGCTGTAATAATGAATTAAATAAATGCAGAATGTTGTTGACGTTGTATATTTAAGTGCTGCTCTATTATATAGATCAATTTATTTAAAGTTATCTTCTATAATAAAACAAGCAGACTGAGATAACAATGCACATTTCACATGCAATCCGTTAAAAAATGAGGCCACACTGGCATCTACATATACACAAGTAAAGCGATTGGGTTAACTGTTTTGTAGACGAAGTCGAAATTATAAATTTATACCAAAATATTCAGAAGAATTAAAGATATCATCACAAAATGAAATACAAAAATATTTATCAAAATTAGAGAATTGAAGATACCATCCCTAATTGAACAAATCTGAGAGAGGTCTACCCAATTTACATATATATTAACTATCAAAGCAATCAGACTTGAGTAGTTGAGTTTGAGTAGTGTCATAATTTCAATCTATGCTAAATGTACATGTGTATATGCGGGAGAATGGACAAACCACCATTATGATAATGTATTTATTAAAATGATGCTTTCTATATTCATATAAATTATATGCAAGTAGTTTACAAAGATGATTATTCAAAGAACAAGTATGTTCTACATTCACTTACATTGGCATACCACGCGTTATTAGCTTTAACATAAAAATAGAACAAATCGTGCTGACATTTAAAGTTTAAATGTAAAGTTTAAAATTAAAAACCAAACAGATATAAATCCTGTTTTCATTCAATCAAACCATTTGGCCTAATATTTTTGTAACAATTTTCATGATCATTATGTGATACGGCATGACTTCAATCTGTAAAAATGCTCAGGTATACAGGCAATAATATTGTATAAACAACCTTATACTATATTACAATAAACACAGTAAACTAAACCTTACATAGTGTTATATTAGTGCGTATGTTTAATGGTTCATTAATATTAGGTTACTGTCACACAAATATATTTGTTTTGGAGACATTAGTGTTTTTAATAATAAAACTCAAAAGTGAAATTTATTCCTTTATTCAACAAGTTACTTGTATTGTTCTGTATTTTAAATAGTTTCTTGTAAACATACCAGGGCAAGACTATTATACATACAAATAATTATAATTTTCATGATTGTTGCTGCAATTATAAGAGCTCTAATCAAGTGCAGTACTTACCTGTCGCGCTACCAATTGCTAAAACACGTAGTTCATGCAATGGGTTTTGTTTTAATTTTGCCAGAGCTTTCTTGATGTTTTGATTGCCAGTTGTGGTTATTGCTGCTTTGTTGGATCCAAATAGTACGTCCAATCTGTCATAATATTCTGCACCATAATTTATTAGACAAGATATACGTTCAGACATAATAATCTGCATGAATAAAATTACAATGCCAATGTTAAGTAAACATATTTAGTACTTTAGACTTTGAAATTAGAGTTTACCTGGTTCTACCAGCTGATTGTTATTGCTATAATGATCGCTACTAGAATATTTCTGTTTAACTCTTTTAAAAGTTTCCTCTCATTAGTAAATAGCGCCCTCACTCAACAATAATCTTAATGAGTGGTTGGTTGGTCAAAAGTTTGATGAGTCAGGTGCATCTATTGGCTAAGCTTACACATTTAAAAAGTACTACACAGAATCTACACAGAATAGGATCGCCAGAAATCTAACATTCCGACTTCACCGCGCCATCTGCACCGATTTTTAAACAACTCAAAATTTGACTGACTGTATGACCTTCCCATGGAAAAACACCAGACTCTATGCTTATGTACAATTTAAACTATATCAATCACAATAACAATATCAACACTTGATAGAGAAATCAGGATATCGTCCATTGTTGTAAACCTGAAACGCCGTTGTTTCTTACATTAATTTATTTTTTTAGTCTTTTATATACACTGTATTATACTAGCACACACTGCTGATTGTGATTAGAATTATTAAAATATTGTGTATTGCAGTGTTATTGGTAAAACATTGTTACCCACATTATGCTTTGTTAAATAATAATTAGTTTCGATTAATCACTGCTCAGTGACATCACTGATTGTGTGTAATCACTATCAACAAGATCTGTTGACATGATCAATCTCCGCAACCCATGCATGTACCTTTTGTAACCCAAGACAAAAAAATGAAAATAACACGCTGTAAGGAGTTTGATTTAGAATACAAGTCCTTCAGTTTGTCTGTCAATATTATACTGTTGTTAAAAAATTCAATTTTAGTGCGGTATTCTATTTGATTTAATGAATGTTAATTTTTTTGTAAGGTAGATTTTTAAAATGGCGGACATCTATGCAAACCACAATGACTAATGTAGGAAGCATATCACATTGCATATGTGTTGTACAAAAACTATTATATTTCCATTGTACTATTGCGTTAGTATTTTATACAATCAAGTCAAGTTCTTATTATTCACAAATACGCTCATTTCAGAAACTTGGATGATAACAATTCACAAAAACACATTGGGAAATAAACCAGTATGGTATAATATAAATAAATATCTAAAATAGCTGTATATGGTATCAGGAATGTATCAGTAATATAACTCAGACTGTGGTATAATAACTGTTATATAGTAGATATTGAACATTAATTATTACACGATGTAAATGAATGAAATATCTCACTTACAGATGAATTTGTTTCCAGTGCTTCCCTTAGGATGTGATATAGAATACAGTAACTGTAACGTCACTAAATAATCTCTATATTTGTGTACCAGTAGAAATGGCAGTGTGTAACATATTTAAATACAGGTTTAATTTTTCCTTTCATCTTTACTACTTTACAATGGCCTGTTAGTTGACAACTATACATATAAAGCCAAAATTAACAAGTTACTGAGGAGAAAACGCTGTATTTTGCTAGGATTGTGGCGCTTTGTCCCTAGGCGCACTCTTTTACTTTTTGTATACATATTATTCAAATTTGAAAAGTATTACTACACAGAATGTACACAGAAAACGATCGCCAGAATTCTAACATTCTCCGATTTCGCCGCGTCATCTGCACCGATTTTTAAACAACTCAAAATCCTTGACATCGTTAAGCTCCAACAATTCCTCCTCTCTAACTGTATGACCTTATCCATGGAAAACATCAGAATCTATGCTTATGTACAAATTAAACTATATCAATCACAATATCAACACTAGACAGAGAAATCTGGATATCGTCCATAGTTGCAAACCTGAAACGCCGTTGTTTCTTTCATTATTTTCCAATTTTGTTAAGTAAGATTTTAAAAATGAAATAGTTTTTAATAATGATTAAAGTATTTGTTTAGTCTTTTATAAAATGCTATACTAGCATACACTGCTGATTGTGATTAGAAATATTAAAATACTGTGTATTGGAGTATTAATGGTAAAACATTTTTACCCACATTATGCTTTGTTAAATAATAATTAGTTTTGATTAATCACTGCTCAGTGTCATCACTGATTGTGTGTAATCACTATCAACAAGATCTGTTGACATGATCAATATCCGCAACGCATGCATGTACCTGTTGTAACCCAAGACAAAAAATGAAAATGGCACGCTGTAAGGAGTTTGATTTAGAATGCAATCCTTCAGTTTGTCTGTCAATATTATACTGTTGTTAAAAAATTCAATTTTAGTGCGGTATTCTATTTGATTAATGAATGTTAATTTTAAGTAAGGTAGATTTTTAAAATGGGGGACATCTATGCAAACCACAATGACTAATGTATGAAGCATATCACATTGCAAATGTGTTGTACAAAAACTATTATATTTCCATTGTACTATTGCGTTAGTATTTTATACAATCAAGTCAAGTTCTTATTATTCACAAATACGCTCATTTCAGAAACTTGGATGGTAACAATTCACAACAACACATTGGGAAATAAACCAGTATGGTATAATATAAATAAATATCTAAAATAGCTGTATATGGCATCAGGAATGTATTAGTAATATAACTCAGACTGTGGTATAATAACTGTTATATAGTAGATATTGAACATTAATTATTACACGATGTAAATGAATGAAATATCTCACTTACAGATGAATTTGTTTCCAGTGCTTCCCTTAGGATGTGATATAGAATACATTAACTGTAACGTCACTAAATAATCTCTATATTTGTGTACCAGTAGGAATGGCAGTGTGTAACATATTTAAATACAGGTTTAATTTTTCCTTTCATCTTTACTCATTTACAATGGCCAGTTAGTTGACAACTATACATATAAAGCCAAAATTAACAAGTTACTGAGGAGAAAACGCTGTATTTTGCTAGGGTTGTGGCGCTTTGTCCCTAGGCGCACTCTCTTACTTTTTGTATACATATTATTCAAATTTGAAAAGTATTACTACACAGAATCTAACTGTATGACCTTATCCATGGAAAACACCAGAATATATGCTTATGTACAAATTAAACTATATCAATCACAATATCAACACTAGACAGAGAAATCTGGATATCGTCCATAGTTGTAAACCTGAAACGCTGTTGTTTCTTACATTATTTTCCAATTTTGTTAAGTAAGATTTTAAAAATGAAATAGTTTTTAATAATGATTAAAGTATTTGTTTAGTCTTTTATAAAATGCTATACTAGCATACACTGCTGATTGTGATTAGAAATATTAAAATACTGTGTATTGGAGTGTTAATGGTAAAACATTTTTACCCACATTATGCTTTGTTAAATAATAATTAGTTTTGATTAATCACTGCTCAGTGTCATCACTGATTGTGTGTAATCACTATCAACAAGATCTGTTGACATGATCAATCTCCGCAACGCATGCATGTACCTGTTGTAACCCAAGACAAAAAATGAAAATAACACGCTGTAAGGAGTTTGATTTAGAATGCAAATCCTTCAGTTTGTCTGTCAATATTATACTGTTGTTAAAAAATTCAATTTTAGTGCGGTATTCTATTTGATTTAATGAATGTTAATTTTTTGTAAGGTAGATTTTTAAAATGGCGGACATCTATGCAAACCACAATGACTAATGTAGGAAGCATATCACATTGCATATGTGTTGTACAAAAACTATTATATTTCCATTGTACTATTGCGTTAGTATTTTATACAATCAAGTCAAGTTCTTATTATTCACAAATACGCTCATTTCAGAAACTTGGATGGTAACAATTCACAACAACACATTGGGAAATAAACCAGTATGGTATAATATAAATAAATATCTAAAATAGCTGTATATGGTATCAGGAATGTATCAGTAATATAACTCAGACTGTGGTATAATAACTGTTATATAGTAGATATTGAACAGTAATTATTACACGATGTAAATGAATGAAATATCTCACTCACTTACAGTTTCCGGTGCTTCCCTTAGGATGTGATATAGAATACAGTAACTCTAACGTCTCTAAATAATCTCTATATTTGTGTTCCAGTAGAAATGGCAGTGTGTAACATATTTAAATACAGGTTTAATTTTTCCTTTCATCTTTACTCATTTACAATGGCCAGTTAGTTGACAACTATACATATAAAGCCAAAATTAACAAGTTACTGAGGAGAAAACGCTGTATTTTGCTAGGGTTGTGGCGCTTTGTCCCTAGGCGCACTCTCTTACTTCTTGTATACATATTATTCAAATTTGAAAAGTATTACTACACAGAATCTAACTGTATGACCTTATCCATGGAAAACACCAGAATATATGCTTATGTACAAATTAAACTATATCAATCACAATATCAACACTAGACAGAGAAATCTGGATATCGTTCATGGTTGTAAACCTGAAACGCTGTTGTTTCTTACATTATTTTCCAATTTTGTTAAGTAAGACTTTAAAAATGAAATAGTTTTTAATAATGATTAAAGTATTTGTTTAGTCTTTTATAAAATGCTATACTAGCATACACTGCTGATTGTGATTAGAAATATTAAAATACTGTGTATTGGAGTGTTAATGGTAAAACATTTTTACCCACATTATGCTTTGTTAAATAATAATTAGTTTTGATTAATCACTGCTCAGTGTCATCACTGATTGTGTGTAATCACTATCAACAAGATCTGTTGACATGATCAATCTCCGCAACGCATGCATGTACCTGTTGTAACCCAAGACAAACAATGAAAATAACACGCTGTAAGGAGTTTGATTTAGAATGCAAATCCTTCAGTTTGTCTGTCAATATTATACTGTTGTTAAAAAATTCAATTTTAGTGCGGTATTCTATTTGATTTAATGAATGTTAATTTTTTGTAAGGTAGATTTTTAAAATGGCGGACATCTATGCAAACCACAATGACTAATGTAGGAAGCATATCACATTGCATATGTGTTGTACAAAAACTATTATATTTCCATTGTACTATTGCGTTAGTATTTTATACAATCAAGTCAAGTTCTTATTATTCACAAATACGCTCATTTCAGAAACTTGGATGGTAACAATTCACAAAAACACATTGGGAAATAAACCAGTATGGTATAATATAAATAAATATCTAAAATAGCTGTATATGGTATCAGGAATGTATCAGTAATATAACTCAGACTGTGGTATAATAACTGTTATATAGTAGATATTGAACATTAATTATTACACGATGTAAATGAATGAAATATCTCACTTACAGATGAATTTGTTTCCAATGCTTCCCTTAGGATGTGATATAGAATACAGTAACTGTAACGTCACTAAATAATCTCTATATTTGTGTACCAGTAGAAATGGCAGTGTGTAACATATTTAAATACAGGTTTAATTTTTCCTTTCATCTTTACTCCTTTACAATGGCCTGTTAGTTGACAACTATACATATAAAGCCAAAATTAACAAGTTACTGAGGAGAAAACGCTGTATTTTGCTAGGATTGTGGCGCTTTGTCCCTAGGCGCACTCTTTTACTTTTTGTATACATATTATTCAAATTTGAAAAGTATTACTACACAGAATGTACACAGAAAACGATCGCCAGAATTCTAACATTCTCCGATTTCGCCGCGTCATCTGCACCGATTTTTAAACAACTCAAAATCCTTGACATCGTTAAGCTCCAACAATTCCTCCTCTCTAACTGTATGACCTTATCCATGGAAAACATCAGAATCTATGCTTATGTACAAATTAAACTATATCAATCACAATATCAACACTAGACAGAGAAATCTGGATATCGTCCATAGTTGTAAACCTGAAACGCCGTTGTTTCTTACATTATTTTCCAATTTTGTTAAGTAAGATTTTAAAAATGAAATAGTTTTTAATAATGATTAAAGTATTTGTTTAGTCTTTTATAAAATGCTATACTAGCATACACTGCTGATTGTGATTAGAAATATTAAAATACTGTGTATTGGAGTGTTAATGGTAAAACATTTTTACCCACATTATGCTTTGTTAAATAATAATTAGTTTTGATTAATCACTGCTCAGTGTCATCACTGATTGTGTGTAATCACTATCAACAAGATCTGTTGACATGATCAATATCCGCAACGCATGCATGTACCTGTTGTAACCCAAGACAAAAAATGAAAATAGCACGCTGTAAGGAGTTTGATTTAGAATGCAAATCCTTCAGTTTGTCTGTCAATATTATACTGTTGTTAAAAAATTCAATTTTAGTGCGGTATTCTATTTGATTTAATGAATGTTAATTTTAAGTAAGGTA